GTGGCAGTGGAAGGTGTCAAAGCAGTTTGGAGAGAAAAACAAAGTAAAGAACAAAAAAAAAGAGAAAACAATTAATTCATTATTAAATTAGTCATCGATTATTTTAATAATCGATTAGTCRTCGATTAATCGTTGCAGCCCTGTGGACGGGGGGATCAACCCGGTGACCTTCCGGCTCCAGGGCGACTCCCCTAACCACTCTGCCACAGCCGCCCCAATGTAAAATATTCTGTTTGAGATGACTGTAACATGGGTCATTCAAAGCAGAGCACTTCAATTAAAAATAGATAATTATGCAATAAGATTATCATAAAACGGACTATTAGCTCTCTAGGTAAAAAATAATGTGTAATGTGTGTGGTGCGATCTTGATGAATCATCCTTAAAATGTTTCTGCAGCAGCTCAGGCTAATCCAGACCTGGTTTATGTTATTCATCCTGTTTGCAACAGCACAGTTAAAATATACTGTTGTTTCTTCATGTCCAGCTGAACCAAGACAGATTATCAAACTATCAGTTTCCAGTGTTCAGATGAGATGGACTGATGCTGAAATGAGAGAGGAAAAAAGCATTTCAGGAGATAAATGTGTTCAGTGTTTTACAGAAAGTGGGAGGCTGATGATCTGAGCTGGTGTTTCAGTTTCTGAGTGTGAGATTTATCCAACATGGAAACTTCATTTTAAAGTGTAAATTATAAAAACAAACAATTCATCCATGTTTTACCTACTTTTCAGCTCAGGGTTGAGCTGCTCTCTGTCTGCAGCTGCTGCTCACATCAGTTCAGTTTGTTTATGTTCACAAGTTGTTTCAGGGCATGAAAAGTAACAAACAAACAAACAAACAAACAAACAGAAAACAAGTCCAGTTCAGATCCAAACTTAAATTCAGCTTCAATCAACTTATTTCTTATTCTAATAAAAATCTTTCACATACATTATAAAAGCTAATTTTTTATTTTATTCTGTAAAAATATGTTTGTTTGTTTGTTTGTTTGTTTGTTTTAAATCCTCTTCATCCTGATGATGAGGTGAAACAGAATTCAGTTCGATTTTCTGTTTGCCTGATGAGAGAAAATAACATTTCAACAAAGTTTTTAAAAATAGCAGATAATATGTTGTATTATTTAAGACAAAACATTGTGAAACTGAGAATGCGTCATTTTTAAAGTGTAAGCACTGAACAGTTTCTTTAGTGGTATTTAAGTAGAATTACGATGTTTTATTTAATTCATTGATGAGAAGAAAAACATAAAATGTACTGATTGTTTTTTAAAACTTTGTTTTAATATAATCC